TAGCCCATTCATAGCAGCTCATAGCACTCCTCGGCTCAGACTGCGCTCGATCCAGTTTGTACCGACGACACTTCAAGCCATGTTTGGAACACGAAAAACAAACATCTGCCAAAAGCTGAGATTGAAAGTTCTTTTCCTTCGCCCCTTCTGCACAACAACTAGTAGGTAACCAGGGTGTCTTACCTCCAGGTTTTCCATGATGGTGTCCCTGGTTTCCGACAATGGCAACTCAAGGCAACGGGGTCTGCCCTTAGTGCTTCCATTTTGAATTGTAGCAGGCACACAAGGGAAACACACCTTCCAAACTATAAGGGAAAAACGATTTCCCCTGCTACCCCTACCATAATGGCAACTATCAGCAGGGTTCTGCGGCCATGTCTGCATCTGGGTTGGGGTTGTCTGTGGTTCTGCCAGCTTCGCCTGGATTGACATGATGGTCTCCCAATGGCTGGAAGCTCTCGGCTCGAAAACGCGTCCTGCTTGCACAAAGGGCAGCAGGAGCAGCGCTCGGCCCACTGCTCGATGCAAGGCGTGCAGAACCGGTGCCCGCAGACCGCCTGGCGAATCGCCCCCCCACCGCCAGGAACCCCATGGACAGTCTATGGGTTCAGTGATCACTGGCTATGGAAAACTCATGGGCTCATGGGTGTGTCCATTTTTAGGACCCCCCTAAATGGTGGTTTTCCATTTGGTGTCCCTTTACAACCAACCAAAAGAGGCTTCCCCAAAAACACAACTCATATAGAATCATAATCTGACCCAAAGGTCCCCCCAAAAAAATGTGGAATGGCAGATGCCCCACATATTGCGAGTAAACCAACCGCCATCGACCACAAAACCATGGGTAACTTAGGGGTGCCTTGTTCCCTTGCAATAGTTTAGGGCAACCTTACACCTCTGCACATAAGCCGCTTAAGGTTTGTTCAAAACCAGGGGGGCGAATCGGTGATCTGCAGTGGAACAGCGCTACAAGTAAAACCAGAAGCATGTGGCATAAGCAGAAAGGATCGAGGGTTCCCCAAACAAAATGAGGCTCATACGGGGGGGGGGGGGGGGGGTTGGGCTTTTGGAGTACCTGAAAAAATCGCTTGAAGGGGGGGGGGGGGCCGCCACTTGTCCGTGAGTCCTGACCGATTCATCATCCCTCAACAAACCAAGGGGTCGTTTTTGAGTGAGCACTGTCTGTCGGGCCTGCCTGTAGTATTGATCACTGTTTTGTCTAGCCGTCCCACCCGTGGACTGCCTAAAAGAGCTTCAAGAGGTCTAGACACTGCTCTTCAATCCGCAGTTGGGGCATCCAAAAGGTGGTCTAGAAGGGTTGTTCACATCAAAACAACAGTTTTGTTGACTGCGAACAAAAACAGAAACAATATGACAAATCTCAACAGTATCCCAGCTGGATACATTCAGCCGCTGTCGTGTACTTAAAAATTCAACCTTCTTCTTCCTTCTCAGAAGGTTCGTGCCATGGTTATAAGAACACCAACCCCTGCCCCCCCCACTAGCCATTATACCCTTCTGAGCTGTCTCCTGGGAAATCAATGTGAATCTATTCGGTTCTTTTCTAATTGCTTAAGCCGCCTGGAAAAATACAAATAGGTCCCAGCAGTGACACGTTCCCTGTAACGCCAACATTTGCTTTAAAACCATTCTCAAGCAAACGGAAGTCTTGGTTCCAAAAACCAGCAAAAGAGGGTGTTTGCCCTTGTTTGGAGTTGGATCCAATGGCTCCCTGAAGTGCCAAAAAGGGCGGTGCTAGTCTGACGCCGTCGGGCAAATCCTCTCTTCTCCGCGCATGTCTAAGCCACTTTTGCTGCCAGGCGCCTGTAGTTCTCTTCTTTTCGGAGGTTCCGACCTAACGTTTGGGGCGATAGGTCAGTCTCCTTTTGGTGGGGTGATGTTCAAAAAGGGAAGGTAAAGAACCCTAAACAATCCTGTGTTTGGCTTTTCTTAATACTGTAGCCACCTTTGTTTGCGGGCTGAAACGGCAAACGAATGAAACCCAAACACCCAAAAGGGCAAAGGGGCAACAGGCTGGTTCACTATGCAGGGACCAGGGTTCCCTTGGTGTCTCCGGCAATTACCCCTTTTGCCAGCCTGCGAGCAATCCTGCGATCGCAGGTTCTCCTGTGACGAATGGAGAAGACCTGCCCAAAGGACCCAGAACACAACCCGATCTACTTCAGTCCCCGAGTTTGCAAGGGCGTGGTGTGGGGGGCCGCCCCTTTGGGCTGTGAGGCTCAGAAAAGCCGAATCAAGGGTAGGTGCTTCTGGGATGGTTAGGAGTCCTGTTATGAGAAGCTTCTGTTGGTGCCAGAGGAGATGACCCGCTTGAACGATCCTTAGGGCACACCTCAAAAAGAAGGAGCCTAATTATGGGATATTGAAGGCTCCTTCTTGGCGACATGACATCCACAGTTACCGAGAATCTGAAGAACGATTTATTGTTGGCTCTACAAAGGTACTCCACATGTTCATATGGGCCATACTACAAGAGCCACGAAATCAGCAAGAAAAGGACACCTCTCGCAGGGAAAACACGATAGCACTGTCGTCTGACGGCGAGTGCCAGAATCCGTCCTCCCAGCAAATGGGGCAGGCCCTGCAAGCCGGCGGCGCATGACCGGATCACCCCATGCATTCCCTTAGCTGATACATCGTTCACCGACTCGAAATCATGATAACAATGCAGTCCCACAGAACTCAACTGTTTCACTGAAGGGACCATACCCTTTCAGGGAGAGAGTAATTGAGAGGAAGGGTTGCATGTCTTGTCATGTGATGTTATGGGTTGCAATTGCAGGTTGTGCGTATGTGTGTGTGTGTGTTTATTTGTGTGTGTGAAATCATACAGCATATCTATTTAAGGGCGTGTAACGTTCTGAAATATTGAGTAATCATATGTCCCCCATATTGGAGGTCCGCCTAATACTGAGAAACATCTGTTTCGTTCAAAACCCCGGTGGGGGGGGGGGGGGGGCGGGGCAAAAGCGATCTGAAACCGGTACCAAACTGGCGATTTCCCCCCGCCAACCTCTCTTCCAGTCTTATTAGGGGACCCCCTGCCCTCAGTCAGCAATCACTATGTTTAGGAAAGAAGAACAGGTTCGGGTTCAAATCCTTTACGTAGAAACATCACGCTCAAACACGATCTGGCTGCTCATGACCAAGACTGCACTCCAAACCTAGGAACACGGGACCCGTAAGAATAAAACATACATGATTCCCACGTTTCTTGTTTTCACAATGGGGCCCATTCAATGGCGGGAGGACTTCCTGTTCAAAATAACTGGGAAGGGATTACAAAGAACATGCATTTATGCTGTTTGATGCAGTGAATGTAACATGATGCATGTGTGTGCCTAACGCTCAATGATGTGTTTTGTGATATCACAGGGTGTTTTGCCAGACTTGCAAATGTTGACTGTCTGGCATCCACTTTTTCAACTTTGTTTGCTGGAACTTTTCCGGACAACACATTGATTGCTGTGTGAGGATCTGAATGGACTCCGGGCGTTGTCACTATGGGCAACCTCCAGCCTGTGCAATGCACATCATTGATCATGTTAAAATATTATTCGTTTGAGGGACAGGTCGAAAGTTACAAGTGGCCTGCCCCAAAATAGGGAATCCCCTTGCGAGAAGGACATCAATCATCGTTGAATGGAATCCAAGAAATGGTTTCCTTGAAAAGGTCCCCTAATCAGTGGTTCCCCTTGAGCAACTCACGGCACACGAGTCGAGTCCGAACCCCTCCCGGCGGAACTGCCTCTCGTCCATATCCGGCTGTTCTGATGGCTGCTCTCTCTGGCACTTGAACCCACAATGTACTCTTTGGTAGAGGAAACTTCTCAGGGACCCTTTTTTGGGGCTCTCTGTGAACTTGCAGGGCTCTTTCTTCTACCGTCTGCTTGGGATGCATGCGAGCTATTGACACCAGGCAGTCAGTCACATTCATTCCATGATGGGATGTTTTCCTCCACGTCAAGTGTCGAGGAGTCTACTTCCCAAAGCAATGAGTGAAAGAATCAAACGTCGGAGATGAAACCCTGTCTGGTTGAGATTGCCTAGCCTTTCACCTCGAAACTATGGCTTGGTTTGAAATCTTGGACAGTCCCCAAAACACAGCAATGGTCATTCAAGAAAGCCACTTTTGGGGACCCCCGTTTGGCTTCCATACTCATTTCCGAGAGACTAGGTGTTGATTCTGGATCATATTCCCTGCTGACGGATTGGGCGCCCAGCCGGTAGCAGCTGCGGGACGCAATATCGCAAGGCTGTCCAAAGGGCTACCTCAATCCTTGCGTGTTTCAACAAAGTGCTGGTTTCCTATCGGCTTGCTGTTGAATACCCAACCAAAAGGGGTCTGCCATGTTGACAAACTCAATTGGGTGTCTCAAAAGGGAATTCCCAGTTCAGTGCAGTGGCATGCTTGTCTGGTTGGCATGCTCGTCAGTCGAGAAACGGGCAGTACCGCTTGCTGGTTAGCGCGCAAGCAGTCATCTTCCAAGTCAAAATGGATCCCTCTTTCTGGTACTGCCCATTTGACACCAGGAGCAGCGTATCAACAATAAACTCTGTCACCAAATCACTGGATTCCAACTGTCCCCCCTCCCTTAACCCCGCACCGGGCGAAAGGTAGAGAACGGGGGCTTGGAATCGTATAAAGCCATCTTGGAATGCCCCACATGGGGTGGCATGTTTTATTTCAGGGTATCCTTCTGGTTGTTTCAAGGCGAAATCAAGGGAAAACCGTCCAAGTGGGTTCCCAATGTCTCGCTTCAGTGGATCCCAAAAAACTCCGAACTTTCGACTTGCGTTTCCCGCATTTGGCCGGTCTTCCCACAACGCACTGTATGGGTGTGTCTTTTTTCGGGGACCCACAAACTGATGGTTTTCCTTTGAATTCCCTTTAAAAACCAACCAAATGGGTGTTCCCTAAGATAACAGACAAACCCGTCTGAAGTCCAGAAGCTTGTGAAGACAAAGCGCCGGCATTTTTGGCGCGCCGCATGTCGCCGCTCACTCCTCAAGAGCCCGGGCCTGTCGTCAGACACGAGCAAGAGTTGTTGGCGGTTGCAAGGGTTTTGAGCAACCAAACAGGAAACCAACAGGAGGTTGATTGAGGGGCCAGCACACCCGTGAAAACAACAGACGGTTCTTCTAATCGAAGCCAACAGGAGGTTGTTTGAAGATCGGTTTATGATTCAAGGTGAATGGCTCAACCCTGGAGATGTGAATTTTCGAATCCGGATCAGAATCCCAACCGTTTCCCAATAATATTGGATTGAATTAGTTCATCTCAAGGGGATTCCAGCAGCTTGTCCTTCATTAAAAACGCAGGGGCGATTCAAGTGCCATTCTCATATTATCTTCTAAATGATAAATGCAATATGAAACACCCCCCCGAAAGTAGTTTTGGGAACCCTTCAAGATGGTCACTTTAGGCACGGAACGCCCTTTTGGTTCACCCGAAGCATTCTGTCCGATCTCTCCCTCGGGTTTTCTGCTGGTTTGCCCTTTGAAAAACCAACGCCCATGAAAAAGGCCCAGATGTTTGAGTCCGGAACACTGGAACTGCCTCCTCCAACCAACATGGAGCTGATTGCCTGGCCAACCCAAAAAAGGGGGTTCCTACAAACAAACACACCCCAAGTGTTGGGGTTCCTGGACCAAAAACAGGGTTCCTACAAACAAACACACCCCAAATTTTGGGGTTCCTGGACCAACAAGGGGTTCCTATCAAACAAACACACCCCAAAAATCCCCAAAAAGGGGGGCGCCCGCTGGTTCGCAGCAGTGCACTCCACCCCGCCTTGGCTTCTTCAGCCTGGCGGCGCTCACGCACCAGGCGCACAAGGGTCTTGAAGTGCTCCTACGGAACACCAAGGTCCAGTCGGTTTGTTTCTTGGTCCGTTGGTTGGGTGGGTGGGTGCTTGATGCTGGTTGATGTTGGTTCGTTGGTTGGCTGGTTGGTTGTTTGGTTGCTTGGTTGGATGGTCGCTCGGTCTTGTAGTTATTGGCTTCTTTGTTTCCTGGAAACTGCCCGAAAGGATTCAGTATAGACAGTTGCTTCAGGAATTTCCCTGAGTGACAGGGAGGTTTCGTGGGAACTGGAGCCACTGGAGGAAATTGCTCCGCTCCAATCCGACCGATTCCTGCCATGAAGATACAGTGCAGTTGTTTCACCCCATCCTGGCGCCGGATTTAACAAGCCATATGGCAGTTGTGGGGGTGGGGCTTCTTTATTTCAAACACTTGCCCAACGGGTATGCGTCAAATTTGGGAACCCCCATTAAAAAATGGATTATATGCTTGTGTTTCCCGTTAAACCCACCCTCAAAGGGTACCCATGCAAAAAAAAAAAAACGGCAATGGATTTGGATGATTCAAATATGTTCTTTCCCTCGACAATCCCAAAGTGCGGACCTTTTCTGGTTTGGACCCTCTCACCGAGTGGGGTCCATGATACTTGGGAAACAGCACAAAGACTACCAAAAACCGCGTCCAAACCGTTTCTGGACTTTTCCACTAGGCCCAAGATCGGCATGCATTTTGAGCTCTGGCAAGGCAAGTCGTCTGCAACGACTGCATTGTGATTGTCGTTCAGTTTCCAGACATTCGTGAAACAGGCCTTCCCGACTAGTAGACAACACCTATCTCCTGAACCTGGATTATCAAGAAAAATAAAACCGCTTGACACGGCGCGGTCTGAAGTGCCTCCCATCAAAACATCCAAGAACCTTTTGACTAGGGACTGGGACTCCCTGAAAGTGTCACTAGTCACACGCAACTCCCTCCCGTCCTTGTTCCCGAAAATGTCCTCCTGACACGGCGTGTGCCATTGATTTCTCTGCAGCTTGCCTGCAAAGCTAGTGCAAAAAACAATAAAGCCGTCTATATAAACATGTCCCTCGGCACTCTTTGCACAACCTATGTGTCAATCAACCCTCACTGAGGGGCCGGTTGCTACCAGAATCGAACCTATGCTTCGAAGATCCTCTGCGTTTCTGCAACGACTATTTAAACTGAGTGCAGTGTCCGGTTGCCATTTGTTGTGCAAACGCCAGCGTCACGGCGTCACGCATGCGCAGTGGCACCCAACCCATGATAGGTGAGTAGTAAACAAGTACATATCTCGCGGCCCGCGGCCCCACTCCAGTGAAACAGACAATTCTGCAGTCCCTATGAACCTTTCATCCATGGAACGAGGGTCTTGGAGACTCCAGGAAGACCTGAAAGACGTTAATGGTGTTGAGCGTTGTGGGAATGTGTCGAAGCAGGAACTGCCCCGAACAAGGGGCCAAACTGATGTTGTCTAGTTTGATCGTGCGAGCCAGGGTCAACATATAGGTGTGTCTCAAAAAACAGGCGGATCCCCAAAAATGTAGTCTTCCCTGTGGTTGCTCTCTTAAACCCCTACCCGGTCCCCCCCCAAAACAATAATAACATAAATTATCCTTGGCCGTAGGCAAGATGGATGAGTCATTCAGCCAGGCCTCTCAACATTTGTCGACCCAAGGACTCCCAGACCTTTTGCCACCCCTTTTGGGACAAAATTGGCACACCTCCATGGGAATTCTAGATGTTTTTTGGATGTATCTTCCTAGGCAAATTCCTCCCCCCCCCCCAAAATAAATAGAACGAATAAAAAGAAAGCAGCTTTAAGGGGAAGTGCCTGTTGATTTTGTTGTTCTACGGACCACGGCAATTGCCCAAAATTCCGAGTGTCACGACGAAATACGGCATCGGTCTTTGAGCATCTGTCTCAGAGAAACCAAGCGCTGGGAAATCAGATGGATTCCACTGGCTAGTTTTCCAAAATGGGAAATCAGATGGATTCCACTACACAAACGAAACCAATCGTACCTCTTTTCACATGGATCACAGAGAATACATCTCAGCAATGACGACTCGGCATGGAGAATCATCCCAAAAGTGACCCCAACTGCTTGCGGTAAATGCAAGTCAGGCACACCATGTCCCAAAGAGTCAAAATGCAAAAACGTGCCCGCAGGCGTCGGACCGTGTCGGACCGCTATTGTTCCCTGGACAAAACTCGGGGGCACGGGTCTGGGTCCCTTGCTGGCCAGTGGTGGAAAGTCCAGTCTAGAAGGGCACTTTTGGGCCTGATCCGCCGTTGTGACTCCATGTAGGACTAGCAGCTCCGGAAGGCTCCCTCTAAGTCAAATTCCTGCATTTGCTTAAGTCCCCCCGGAAAGGATTCCCTTAAAGAATAACAGGGACATATAGAACATCATATAAAGCGAACAGAATTGGGATGCAAGCTGAGTAAGTCTTGAACACGGTTTGGACGCGCTTTTCGTGAACTTGTTCTTCCCCAGGTTGGTCCTTTCTCTTTTTGACCGTGTAGTACTCTGCCGGTGGATCAGATTCGACACCTCCAACGTCGTAACGGCTGCACCCTTGGCTCCTTGGGAGGGCCACGCCGCTCTTTGGCCTGCCGCAAGACCTGCTCCTAGCGCGAACCAAATGGCTTTCCGGCCGAGCAAAACTTCGCTTCAGCTCCAATTGGTTTGGAGGTTCTCCCCCTTTGCAGATCTTCAGTTTCCCTCTAATTGGTTTGAAGCGTTTACTTGCGTGGGTTGAATGAATTTGGAACTTGCAGATCGGCTTCCCTCTTGGTTTGAAGCCCGCTGGTTTCGAGGCGAAGGGGCATTTCCCATCCCGGCTTCGAATCCCCGAACAAGTAAGCTTTGCGAAAAGCTTGCGCTCGCGAAAAGAGAATACTCAGGAACCCGAAGGGGCAAGGCGCTCTGGAATTAGGACCAAAGGCCTTTTTGCTCCCTATAGGACAATAAGGGCCGACATAGTTGGAATGGGGATGTGGGGTACAATCAAATCAACTTACGTCCTGACCAAGTGTGACTTGATTTGGTCCCTCTGGTGTTTTTGTCCTTGGGGTTAACATAGGGCAAATGGGGAGGTTTCCGAAAACATTCCGTCACCCCGGGACTCAGACCTGCTGTGGGCCCCCAGCTTTCAACAAAAAACACAAATCACCCCCACCCCCCCACCAAAAAAAAAAAGAACCAAAAGAACAAAGAAGAACACAACAACCTAGACGTGGGACGGCTCCAGAAAATCCCAGAGCCCGAGTTCATCCTCGTGCTTCTTCCACAGCAACTCCCGCTCGTTGGGTCCCACCGGCACCGGCTCCGGCATCGCGCACCCGGACACCTTCCGCATATCCACGGCGTGCCGAGAAAACAACAAGTTGACCGTAGCAAACCTCACTTCCGATCGAGTGGATTGGCCAAAACAGGAACCAAACTCCTTACTTACAACTAAAATATGTAGCAAAACTCACTTCCGATCGAGTGGATTGGCCCAAACAAGAACCAAGCTCCTTGTTTTCCACTAGCATGGCCCAGACCCAACAAGTTTGGAATCCGGGAACTCGGGGAGTGAGAGCACCCGCTCGCACCTGGGCTGACATTTGGTTGTGGACAAAAACCCTTCCGTAGGACATCCTCATGAATCCTTGATCACTTTAAAACCGGGTCTCTTGATATCACAGGAACTGGTGCTAAAACCAGGTTTTCCACAACTGCCCTTCGCCGTACCCGTCCTACGACCAGAAAGGTGTGATCTAGCGCAAGTCGTAACTCACTGACCCAGGAGCCAAGGAAGCTGGAGTTTCCTCGGGGCCACCTTGAAGTGCAGACACGTCAACAGCTCTGCGAGGAACATCCCGGCCCAAACTCGACAGGCCATGCGCTAAACATCAAGGTACATTGGCGATGGTCTCTGGCTTTGTGCAAATGAAGCAAGCCTTCCCCCTTGGCGGTTTTGGGATTTTTGGAACCCCCAGGTCTTGTTTCCCTTGGCATCGGACAGCTGGCTGCGCACGGGACCGGAGCCTTGGAAATCCGGACACCTTCGCCGTTCATGGTGTAGCGCCTGCCACGTTCAAGGCTCCAATTTGAAGAACAAGAAGGAAGACTGGGTTTGTTACAGTCCCATCCTCAAAATTACTCTCCAAATAGTGGGTTACAGGGAAACAACCCCCAAAAGGAACTGTGAGAACCCTAAACATGTTCGCTGTTATAGACCTGGGAAAATGGGGTGCATGCCTGTTTTAGTGGCTAGTGGTCCTAGGGGCTGCCTTGGTACGTCATGTTTGCACGGAAACTGCAACTGACATTTCCTCTACGCGATATACACACGGTGCACTCCAACCACCGCATGCTGCAAGTAAGTAAGCCAACAAAAGCCGAGTCTTGTCTGGCAATGCTTTGACAGGTGCAGGGACTTGCCCAATCATATCCGAGCTCGAACTGTATTGACACAATGCACCACTGGGCGGCGACCCATCAACCTGCAACACCAACAAGGGACCACTCGATATCTTGTTGAGCATGGATTCACAATTGGCGCGAAACAAAAAACAAAAACTGAGACAGTACAGGCTCCGCGGAAAAGCTTCTCAGACCCTCCGAAGGGTACTTACAACCTTTCTGCAGGCTTGGGGGTACTGTTCCTATCTGTCTGTCCTTAGTGGCACAAACTTCACAGAAAAAGCTGCGGAGGCAGTCCATCTGCAGAATGCCCACCGATAGCTCGGAAAAGCAATTTGGTGTTTTGAGATTCATGGAATGTCTACTGATACATGTTCGCGTAAACTATTACAACTGTGCTGCACTAGGTCGTGACGCACCGAACAACACACACACACACACACCTCCACAGCCTGGATCGGTCACTCCGCTTTCTCTGTTTGAGGAACAAAACCTGCACCTACCATGAACCATGGAAGACGTCCACAAGAAATGGATACAACACTGCAATCCGCAGGTTTGGTCTGGGACCAACCCCAATAAACCTGCGCTGAGGGGTCGAGGTTGTTGCACTTCGGGCAAATGCAAATGATGATCTCGTTTTATGGTTAAACTTATTGCGCACTGTGCCTTTTCGAGGGGCCCGTTATTTGATATTCACCATCATTTGCATATTTGCAGAGTCCCTTGTTGACCCAAAGGAATTCACCAGCTGAAGGGTTTATGATGAGAAGCACGATGGACTGCTCCTGTTCTTCACCCCGCACCCCTCCTCTTCACGCGTGTGGGTTGCTTCGTCACGGGATCCACCAGTGTGACGTTGGTGACGTGGATGGGGCACCTGAGTTCAGCGGCCGTGCCATGTTTCAATTCTATCTCTCAAACCGCGCCCCAAAAAGGGAACCATTTTGTAAGGCCAACACAACCTATGGGTTTCACTTCAGGAGTGTGGCTGGAAGGCGTATAGACTAAAACCGACAGAGTGACACCCATCAGAAGGAAATTTGAAATGGACCACCAAAAATCAACACCATGTGGGAAAATTATCCGTACCAGGTCTTGCAAAGAATGATGTGGAGTCTCCTGCGATAGATGCTTGCATGCTCGACCCACTCAATGAGCAGGTTAGAAGGTTTTTGGCACAGAAGGAATCCAACTTCTATTGCCTCGCTCTCGGCTTGCCGGTAACCCCCCCCAAGACCTGCCCCCCGCCACCCCACTCCACCCCCCGCCACCCCACTCCACCCCACCACACCCCACTCCACCCCACCCCACCCAACCCCACTCCCCCACCCACCCCCACTCACCCACGGACCGTTGGAGAAGTCCTCCATTTTCGACTACGCCCATCGCTTCTCGCATGACTGTCGCGGCTCGGCCCCGGGCTCCACGGTCACCAAGTTCGGCTTCCCAGGGCCCGGCTCGGGATGCCAAAAACCTCCCAGGACTTCGCCGGCGGCGTGCTGCGTTTTTCGCGGGGCGTTTTGGTTTTGCGGAGAACAAAAGCGGCGCTTGCACGCAGGCGCTTTTTTTCCCCTGTTTTGCGGTGTTTGGTTTTGCGGCTTCCAGGCGATTCGCGATTGGGCTAATAGCGATGGGCAAGATGGCGTTTGAGTTTTGTTTGGTTATTTTTTCTGGAAGGGGGAGGTATTATCCTTGGGTTCAACAAGTTGTGCTTTTTCCGTTGAAAGGGAGGTATTCGCCAGGACAGGTTCAGTGTCTTTTAAAAGTTTACATGTGCTGAGAGGTTGAAGGACAACATGAGTCGCTTCCTCAACGGGAGGACTTCTGAATGGACGGTTCTACTTAACAGGTGTTCAAAACTGAGGCACCATGCTTAAAATGTTAAAGCGGCTTGTTTTGCCCAACAGCAGCAACTGTAATTGGGTTGCCAACCCCAAGTTCGTGGCCGTGAAATGTGTTGGTTTTGGAGGGTATGACTGGATCAGGTTCAATTATACAGCTATGGCTGCACGACTTGCCACGCCAAACAAATTGATTCAGAAACCCGGCCCCTGAAATCTGAACGCAGGAACCAACCAGCCATTTAGTTGGGTATCTTCAAGCAAAGACACGAGCACGGAACTTCCCTGTAGATGAAACTCTCAGACGCGGGTCTGGCATGGGCGGCAAAATGTTACATCGCCTTGTGACGTCCTTTGCAACCTGGTAACAGGATGAAAACACTCACTGACAATCAAGCTTGAGTCGTGCTAACTCAACAGGTAACAAGACTATGTTGTTATGTAAACATGGGTTACGTAGTACCGATCAAGGTAGCACACCAACACAAGCTGGCATCGCTTTGACTCAGCAACACATCGCCTGCACCGCTTTCCGAATTCATCCCTTATGCACTCCAAAACATCCCAAAGCACCCTTGCACCTGTCCAAGACTGTTTAAAGTGTGATACAGTTTGAAGTAAGCAAAGTACCCCAAAGGGCAAAGCGTTTTGCTTTTTTCTTGAGCCCCTCATACCTTCCCGCAGGCATCCCACACTGGGATGCAAGGCTTCCAAAGGATGGAAAGTTGCATGGACTCACCTGGAGGGGGGCCTAAATCATCAGCCTGTTTGAACCACAATTTAGAGGTTCACAAAAATATGTCTGCCACGTGCTTGAGACCAAACGTGAGGGAGTCCCCTCTTAAAACTCAGGCCTTTATTTCCCGCCTCTCTTCAAGCTCACCCCGTTCACGATGACCTGAGGACTCCAAAATGGGGTCTGCCAGCCAGTCAGCCACCCCGCATTCATGGAAGATACTCCCCTGCCTTGGGGGTACGCAACCCCAACAAACAACCATGTTGTTCGCTCTGATCCTTGCTAGACATGGGAGTATGGGTGCTCCTATGCCCAACCCTGCGGGCTTGGAGCGCTCAACTCAAACGAGCCTTACACCTACCACGTCTATGTTCTACATGTTGCATGACCTTGCCTAGATTGCCAGTAGACGTAGTCAACCTGGCATTGCAGGAGTCAAACAAATTCCACCTCAAGAAAATCAAATGGGCGCGTCAGGAAACGGGCGCGTCCTGACTCGCCCATTGGTTGGGACTGACTGTCCCACCAATCCCGAGGGTTGTCGAATAGGGCCGTCGGGTGAGGTCGCTGATGTGATGGTCGGTTGACTTGGCTAAAGGCAGCAGGCAGCACCGAGTTGCAAAAGGCGTCAAACAAGTCTTGCTGGCAATCACTCATAAAACTACTCCTATCACCCCCCAAAACACACCACCCCCCAAACTCATCTCCAGTTTTGGCCTATTTTGGTCTGTGTGTTTTAGGGGGTAACCCTATGTTCTTTCACATTCATATGGCGTATGTACACCGGATCCATCTGGGCAAATGGCAATCATTCCCAAACCAGACATATGTATTTTCGGGGAGCCCCTTTCAAATGGCAACAGAACACCGCAACGGAACCTATTCGGACCCTGGTACACAACGAAGCCTCTGCCTCCACAGATCATCGGATCGGATCGGATCTCGGATCAAATCCCGCGATCCCCCCACCTCGAGGTGGTGGCGGGGGGGGGGGGGTAGAGGGGTAGCAGTGTCCTCATTCCGCTTTCCATTTTCCTAGTTGTCCAACCACAAAGGGAAAGCTCAAAGTCACAAGCTTCCAGCGTCGAACCCCCAACTCCATCGCTAAGTTGGAACCAAATGGCAACCTGTGCATCGCTCAAAGACCAGTAGCCATGGAACAGGGCAAGGAACAAACGGGCACTGGGCAGCACAAAAGGGATCGGATAAGCCGCGCCTGATTCTTGTCTCGCAGGATGCGGCTGATAACCCCGTACTTCCCCTTCTCACTGCCGTAGAGCACTCGCACACGGTCGCCCACCATGATGTTCATCAACTACCGCCGGGCTCAAGCACACGCGCTCTTGCGATTCTAGCTGCACCCAGACCCCTTGTGCATTTCTGTGATTTGGAAAGCTAATTTGGAAAGCTGATTTGGACATGTCATTTCTTGAGTTGGCTTTAAAGGGAAACCAAACGGACAACCACCATGTTGCGACCATGTTAGGAGAGTCCCCTGAAAAAAGTCAGCCATTTCCTCGGGGAACCCGCACAAAAGAGTTCCAACCTCCCAACTACCAGCGAAACTGCCAGAAACATCACTGGAAAACCTCTTTGGGGCTACAAGAAACCTACCAAAAAAAGGCTTTGCAACCGGAATCCCGTGAACGATTTGATTCCACGAAATCACCAGACTTGCTGCTCGCCCTTGCCCAGACTTTAGAGCTTGCTTGCGCCTGAGCGCGCCTGAGCACAAGGTCATGAACACCCAGACATCGACAAACGACGTTACTTAACTAGGTCCTCCAGTACAGAGGATAGAATAAGGGTACCAACTTTTCTCTGTTTATTTTAGTAGGGAAGCCTCCCCCAAAACAGGGTAAAAGGGCACTACTGGGGACCTCTGCAACGTCAATCCAGGAATCTGGCCAAATGTTTAGCAAGGCCGGGCCAAAAGTGAACCTCTCGCTGAAGAAATCCGCCGACTCCTGCAGAGGGGACCGGCGTGGGATGCAACTGGAAGTGATTGGAATCAATGATAGTTATTGGGGGACACGCCCGAACCCACAAAAAGTGGATTCCCAGGCCTGTCCGGGACCCCTCCCGGGACCGGTCCTGGGACCAGTCCTGGGACCAGTCCTGGGACCGGTCCTGGGACTGGTCCTGGGACCCTGGTCTTGTAGTCAGCCAACTGAGCCGCGACCGGTCCCACCGGTCCCGGGACCAGTCCCGGTCCCAGGAGTCCTGGGACCAGTCCTGGGACCGGTCCTGGGACTGGTCCCAGGACCGGCGGTTTGGTCCTGGAACTGGTCCGGGATGGTCTGGGAAGCCGGTCCGGGATCAAGTCCTGGTGTGACCGCTGGTATTGGGTCCCAATTCAAACTGCTGTGCTGCCACCTCAAACCGCTCCAGACACGTTCCCAGGTCGTCACTCCCTGCGACCAAACCGGCCCATGCGGTTATTGACGTCCTTGTGGTAGTAGAGGATCCCTGGATCTATTCTGCAAGAGAGTCCAATACGTCAAGTCAAACCGCGCCAGACTGGGACCAGCCTGGACAGGGTCCCAAGTCCCGGTCCCTGCCGGCGACCGGTCCAGGGCAACTTCGGGAGGGCCAGTTTCAGGGCGACCCCGGGAGAGGCGACTGCTCCCGGCCAACTCGAAGTGACTTGGGCGCAAGCCGGCCCAAGCGGTAATTAACGGACTAGCTGCCCTATTTCTGACTTTTCCGTTAATCCTTGTTTGTGGTCAACTTCGGGAGGGCCAGTTTCAGGGCGACCCCGGGAGAGGCGACTGCTCCCGGGCCAACTCGAAGTGACTTGGGCGCAAGCCGGCCCAAGCGGTAATTAACGGACTAGCTGCCCTATTTCTGACTTTTCCGTTAATCCTTGTTTGTGGTCGTAGAGGATCTTATAAGTGGTCCCTGGGTTTGCGGACGTGTTTCAGGACCGGTCCTCGTGACTTTTCCCTTAATGCGCCGAGGGTCGGCGGCAGCAGGCGGGAGCCTGGTTAATAGGGAAATGAAGGAAACCCCGAAGGGCAACAAAGCTAGTTAAGTTTGAGCATGCACAGGCATTGCGTCAGTGGGATCGGTGAGCTGGCCAAAAGTTGTGCAAAGCCTCTGCTACTCTTCTAAGAACCTTGTGGGTCTCAGTGCCGCGCACGACTCAACAACAAAAAAGCTCCCCCTTTTGGAACCTTCAACATAGATCAAACATGGGCGACCAAAAGCTAAGGCAGCTTTGGGGTCGAAGCAATGGGAGAACTCCTGCCAAGGATCAGGGGAACCGAAAAGCTTGGAGGACTCCGATAAGGATCTCCAGGGGTAAAATAATACACGGCATGGTGCTTTGATCGTGACTAGCCTGGGTTTAAAGAGGTAAAGGATCTTAGCAGGTGGCAAATAATGCGCGCTTTTGTTCAACCTACAAGTAGTGCCTCTCTCTACGCAGCGGTTTCCATTGCGGCTCAAACGACCCCCGAAGGTTCTGCCCTCAATTGCAGACCAGGCTGGATGATGTATCTATGGGTAAGGTCTAAGTTGTGAAGGCGGCCTGGCCTTTGCCATGCATACACATACAACGTGTATATATATATATATATGTTCTGAAGAAGTAACCACCCTTATGCAACAGGAAATGAATACATACGTACACATGTTCTGATACATATCAAAGCTAGTCCCATTTGCTAAACATATTGCATATATAATCAGAACATACACACAAATTGCACGTGTAAATGTGTATATATATATATATATATGTATATATATATATGCTATATATATATATATGTCCATTTGTACAGGGGAAACCGATTCCATTCCGTGCGCTTCTCGCGTTTCGGCTTCAGCTGCCTGGGCCAGGTCCAGCTTGCAGAGGCGCCGGTCCGTGTCACGGGGGTCCGGGGGCGACGGCCATTTGGAGGGCTCCTTGCTGATGCTGAGGAAGGGCAGCCTCGCGATCCGGGGCGATCCGGGGCGATCCGGGGCGATCCGGGGATGCGTCGGAGCTGCGCCCGTTTTGTTGGGAGAGAACTTCTGGGCGTTTTGGAGGAAAAATAGACGTTTCTTGAGTTCATCTTTTTTTTCGGGGGGGAGAGAGAGAACCCTTGCGCCTTTGGGATGGAGGAATTCGAGATGGCGTTGTTACCTCTTTTTTCCGCATTCTTACCCCATATTTGGCCTCGCCATCTGGAATTCTGGACGTTTCTTGGGTGTAGCTTTTAGGGAAGAACCCCCTTTTGGTTGGTTTTCAAAGGGAAACCAAACAAAAAGCAGTTTTGGGGGTCCCCGAATTTATAACACACCCATGTGCACGCCGAAGTCTTCGGCCAAATGGAAGGGCATTGTTTATCTCTCCTCGGGCATCGCGACGGATATCCAGAGGCGGCCCAGCTGCACGCGTGCTTAAGCGTTTCAACAACGCCAGGGCAACGGCTTAAACATGTGTAAAGGTGTAAAGCTTTAATCTGCAAACATGTTTCCGCCGACTCCGGCAAAAAACAAGATACACATTGCATGAATAAGGGTTGACTCTTTTTGCGCAATTGGTTCAGTCATTGAGTCCTTTCTGGTGGGAAACTAAGCCTTTTTCGTGGCTGGCGGGGCTGGAGAACATCCCTTTCTTGCTGTTTTTGAAACCCAGCCCACAGAAGTTGAAGAACCCTTCACCCCTGGAGATCTGGAACTAAGACAGCAGGACCTGTGGATTCCCCCCCCCAAAACGCCCCGGCCATCCAACTTGCGTCAAGTTGAAAATGCTTGCCCGAAGCCACGCCAGCTGGGTAGCTACTGACTACTCGGGCCATAAGAATCAGCTCAAAATAATCCTGAAAAGGCGCGCGCCATTGCGTTCGTTGTATTCCGGTTAAATTAAACCAACTAGGCGGCAAGATTCAATGACCCCCAACATGTTGGTTGCCCTTCTCTGTTCCCTTTAAGCCAACCTGAACAAGGGTACCAACTCCAACCTCGACAGTATTGCTTTGGGGAAGTGATATGTTTCCCGCCTTCTTATACTCAAATTGGAGGGCCCAAATGAAATGAGTCCTGATGATTTTCAAGTTGAAGTTCCTGAATTCTGCCCACCCAAATCAAACTTACTCTAAACTGATCCGAATTCTGCACGAACCGGCGCGAACCTCCTACATGTGGATCTGAAGGTGCCAGGCTTGGAAGTGACATTTTTGTGCTGCTCAAAACAAGTTTGGGAGGGGCTATTGCAACCATGCCCACTTGCTTGGCTACATAAACCAAACTGATGGAATACCCCCACGCATAGTAAAGGCATGCGGCCAAAGCAGACTGAGTAAGTATCAGATAGCATACCCAATAGGTGCAGTTAGCACATTTGGATAGTTCGACCAGGAAGCTGTGGGCCACACTCGGGGGTCCATGCGCGAACTGATTGTTGCTCACTACACATCGCGGGGGCACCTTCGTTCCAACTGATGGTTTGAGGTACCTTAAAGGGTTTTATGCTTTTGTGGATTTGTCTTGCTGCATTGAAGCCAAAGAAAAAAGGCCACACAAATAGAAAGACCTCATTCTCCTAGGAGCCATGCGTGCTTTGGCCTTAACATCCTCCACAAGGAAAAATCCTTTTTGGGGTTAGGATACCTGTCCTCGGTACCTGTCCTCCACGCATTCGAATTAAGGCCCTTATTGCATGATTGGAGTTAGGCCCAGTTATAAAATGTATATTTTATTGCTTGCTTCACTTTGAGTCACTGGTAAAACGTAAAATGTATCCTAAGTCCACCCCAGATTGCAACCATGGATATGTTGGACCTTCGCGTCCCACTTAGGTGACTCCTGAAACTTGTTGCTTCCCTCTGGCTTATTTGCAAAACCAGAGGGGTACCTCAACCAAGACACGCCCAGCAATCATCCCATCCCCTTTCAAACTTCCTCATTGCTATGTAGTGTCCGGTGTTGAATCTTCTTCTTCCGGATCTGCGCCACATGCTGTTCGAAAACGAACACCTTTCGGACCACCCCCGGGAAAACAACAACAACAACAACATGGAGAAAAAGGACACGACATTGGGCTTTCAAAGGGGCCGTCTCTTTGGGTCATCACATTCACGCCGAGCGTCTGCCGATACCTCCGCTCCGTCTCTTCCTGGGGACTGGCAGGGGTTCAGTTCGAAACGTTGTTCTGTTGCTATCCCAACTCATGCTTACCCCTTAAAACTCCAAGCCCTGGGGAAGTTAATCTTTTACAGACATATAGCCCATGTTACCCAAAAAGTTGTGTTTTTTTAAGAGGTAAGCATGGTGAAAGGGGCACCCTCGAAACATCTCACACACACACACACACACTCAGAACCATCTGTTTCCAACCAAACCGACGCTTGTGGACATGTCCCAAACCGCCGTCCCCGCCGGAACCCCTCCTGACGAATCCGCTGGTGAAATGGGATCACCCCGCCCTTGATGCGGGGCTTGATGCGCACCGACGACCAGCGCTGAGCAGAGATGAACATGGCGCCGGATGGGAAATGAGAGGCCCTCAGATATCTCGCTTGAATGGATTGGCCAAGAATGGTCGAAACACGTCTACACGATTTTTTGCTGAACTGGTTTCTCAACAAGTGTCTACAGCAAAAGTTCGTAAACTGGAGAAGAAAGGTAGTTTCAGTTAGATTGGCGGGTACTCATCGACGCGCGGGCCAGGGTTTCAATCACTGGTGTCCCCTCGACATACATACATAAAGCAAAGTGGGCCGCTTGCTGTGAGAAAATGCTGACGGTGACGGTTTTTGTCGCAAACAGCATGGCCCATGGATCTTCTTGAGGACTGTAGCACCCTCCCACGCCAAACTCCCGCCCGGGTTCTGGATGGCCTGTAGGGGATCACTGTTAGATTGTTGAATGATTTTTGGATCAGCCCAACCCCACAGAGGTAGAGCTGCAGAGCGGAGTGCGGATCGCTTGCCAACTTCTACCACTGCTTGTTGCCTTGGCGAAAGGCACGAGCTTATGGGCTTCTCAGCACCCAATGAACCAAGAGGCAAAACAATGACAAGGCACACGTTGGAACCACCGCGTGACGGTGGATGGAGCCAACGGTGTCAAAATGCTGGAACGGGGGCTCCAAAGGCAACCTCATGTTCAGAAAGGCTCCAACTTGGTCGATTTCAATTGGAACGTGGGTGCAACTTTGGCCAAACGAAATGACTCCTACTACCCTCCGACCAACTAACATGGAACCTGACGTTCGGGGGTCCCTGCAAAATTAAAATGGTCCAACCAGGACCACCCGAACGTCAGGTGCCATGTTATTAATTGGTGAGAGAGTATTTTTTCCCAAACCTCTGGCAACATCTTCTAGGAACGAACAAAGGAGCAACCCCGTTTGGTGGACATGGCGGGAAAGTAGGGCCGAATCATGCTCGAATAAACCTTATGTGAATACCCGCCCATGTTGTGACAAATGAACTTCTATGTGGTGTGTCCTTTTCGAGTCGGTACCCTTTTTTGATGGTTCAAAAAAGGACACCAAAAGCAGACCATATGCCATGTCCACCTCACCCCTCAGATTTCACCGCACCGGCGCGCATCGCTTCTTGTTTGTTCTCCTCGAGCCTCGCACGCTTGAGTTGCGGCTCCGTACCTTCGCCTCCAGGGGAAGTTCAGGAAATCCCTGAGGCATGGAACCTGAAAGCTCCTCCCACCTTCCCAGGCTTCCTTGTTGCCCTTGAGTGAATCCAAAAGACTTCCCTTTGTTGCCCTTGAGTGAGTGGTCCAAAGTGCCTCTGAAATCTGTATTTCCAAAAGTTTGTCCAGAAACTGGGCAAGCAAGTCCTCGGTTTCTGAAGCCAACGCAAGGTCCAGAAGGTCGCCGAGTTAGATGGGGCCGAGCCTCAACGCTGCACCGAATTTGAGGTCAGAGGTGATCGCAGCCGAACTGGAAAACGAACAAGCAACGCCGGGGTTATGGAGAATGACCCGTTGCCGGGGCCTCTTATTTAAAGTCCTTCGTGGTCAAAAGCTCTGTGTTGTGTCCCCTTTTCTTTCACTGAGTGGACGACCCCCTGCAGCAAGTCCACCTTTTTGCTGGTTGAACGTTCAATCAACCAACCAACCAACCAACCAACCAACCAACCAACCAACCAACCAAAACAAAGCAGACATGTGTTGTTTGCTTCTGAATTCTTCCCGGCGAGGTAAGTCTTACCTCTTGCCGCCCGCCTTCCAGCAAAACGCCATGCATGCGCCCGAAGATCTCCGGGTCTTGCACCTCGATCGATCAAACTTTGACTAATGTTGACCCAGGATTCATAAACCCGTCCTAATATTATTAGGGGGGTGAAAACCCCTCCAAAAGTCATCTGAATCCCCACTAAAAGGAATTGGGCACCGGGACCCCAATAAAACACCACCAGGGGTTCTGCTTAGATCCGGGGTTAACACTATGTTTTTGTTTGTTTCGGATGCTCGAGCTTGAGCTTGGTCGAGCCCAAAGGATTCCCAGGGGAAGAAATCAAATCCTTCCCCCTTCATTTGCGGAAAACGGAAGCCACGTGACTAAAAAAGAAAAGAGAAAACAACAACAACAACAAAAAAGTCCGGCAGGATAGATTGCTTTTAAACCTGATCTTCAGGAAATGGACATTTCAGCTACCCTCTTGGTGCGTGAGGTTTGTGTTTTGGCGGCTAGCGTTCCATCTACCCAAAGCATGGGTTCAAGTCCCCAATCCAAACCAAGGGGAAGCTGATCCTTTCTGTGCCTTGGTTTCAAAGGGCTCCCTCAACAGAGGCGAGCCCAGATGGATTCTAACAAATGGGTTCCGTTCTGACGCTCACGTGTGGAGTCTCCTTGTTGTGGGGTTGTTCCCGTCCCAAAGAAGCGGGCGCATCAAGACCATGAATCTAACCAGCCAACGCCGTGGCAACTTCCCAACGGCAAAAAGGGTATGATCTTGAACTCGTGGTTTTTTCCCCAGATTTCAGGCACCTAGTAAAAACAAGTAAAAATAAACGCCCATGCTTGAAACAACACCCCTTCTCCCAGAAAAACATGTGCATACACAGGGTGCTTGTATACTTCGTTTGCCCTTCATATGTTTTGGGTGTTGAAATGATCTTGAGCCTCCGCACTTTCTCGGGCCTAAGAGTCCCTTAGGGTCCCTTACTTTGAACCTCCTGTGGCCCTGCAACAACCCTATCCTCAGAGACTACCAAGGACATCAGTCAAAACCTGGTCCTGATTGTGTGGCTGGTGCCTCAAATCAAGGACCCTCAAGGAGAGTCTTCTCTTGCTCCCCATGCACCCTAAAGGTATTTACCTTGTGCCGCGCCTAAATACTCCTGTCTTGGGAATGGTCTCTAGGTGACACCACCCCGCGGATCAAGCTTCGTGGGCCCACTCCGTATAGTTTTGTCCGGGTCTTTTCGACTTTGATCCCTTGCATGGTTGAGGCCTAACTAATTGGAGTGAAGAAACCATCGGAATCCAATGATTGTTGGGGGCTCCCCACTTTGGGGACCCTCCAATCATACCAAGAACCTGTACAGGCGGCCTTGTTAGTTTCGGAAAATCGCCGGTCTTGACCATAGGAAAGGAATGGAGCCGTGGGCACCTATCAAGACCGAATTCAAAAATGATAAGAGTGACGCATGCAACCTGAATGTTAGGACCTCAAAAAGGACTGAACATTCAGGTCCAAGCCCATCCAATGGCGATCCAAACTCCCAAATTGGAGAGTGTCAGCTGATCTTTGGCGTAGAGTGTGTTCTTGTTCGCCTCTGAGAAAAAGCCCAGCCTCCAGCTGGTGCCAGCACCTCAGGTCTGCCATCTTAGCCTGCGCGGGTCGGGGTGGGTTGAAAGGGAACCACAGGAAAACCGTACATGTCTATATATATATATATATGTATATATTTGTATATGTATACGTAAGTATATATATACATATACACCACTTCCATGTATCTCTCTCTATATATATGTATATATGAATGTACGTATATATACATATATATGCGTATATATATATATATATACGTATATATATACCACTTCCATGTATCTCTCTTTATATAGACATATATGAATGTACGTGTATAGCATGTATACAATTGTACGTCCATACCTTGGCGCAGGGCGAACCCACTGATGTGAGTGCCAAGAATCGAGCTTCAATTGTTCGGTCAGTGTCCTTACAAACACGCAACAACACATATAAGATACCCAGTAACCGATTGCCCATAACCAGGGCTCGATGCATGATCGGAGGGTTGCGGAAGACTACCATCGTTAAAAGGCCGGCGGCTGCCCACGCCCATGGTTGTTGGAAAGAGGGTGTATATGTTCGAATATAACATATCATATATATATATATATATGCTTTGTCCAAGGGTTCGTCCCGGGCTTTTCGGCATAAGAAGCAAACGTCAAACCTGTCGGGCAACTCGTCCGGGGGTTTCTCTAGCTGCTTTTCCGGAGGGTTGTCCCCAGGTTTGTCCAGGGTTTTTAGCCCGGTTTGAGCTGACAAACAAAAGGAAACGCGCGTATGCAGAACCGCCTCTGTCAATAAACATGTGTATAGTGTATATTATATATTATCTATATATATATATATATACAAATAACAACCCCCCCCCCCAAAAAAAACAAAAAACAAAAGAATTACCCCCCCCCCAAAAAAAAATATATATATATATATATATAAATAAAAACAAATAACATAATAGTAACAATAATAATAGTAATAATAATAATAGTAATGATAAATAGTAATAATAATAGTAGTAATAATAATAAATAGTAATAATAATAGTAATAATAATAGTAATAATAATAACAATAAAACTAGTAATAATAATAATACAAATAATCATAATAATAATAGTAATAATAATAATAATGCTAATAATAATAATAATAATACTAATAATAATCATAATAATAATAATAATAATTAATAATAATAATAATAATAATAATAATAATAATAATAATAATAATAATAATACTAATAATAATATATAGATATATACAAACCATATATGTTTTGTTTGGGATCTGCGTGCACGACCGCATTCTCAGCCACCGATGAGGGCCTACGGAAGGCCAGTGCCGCATTGCCCAACCGATGGAGAAGCTGATATGGCTCACCCAGCAACTTTGCTCAGATCGTCCACTGTGGTGTTGTTTGTGTCGTTTTTGGAGTTGGTACCATTTGTTTTGGTGGATTTTGTTTTGGGGAAAACCAAAGGACAACCTCCAGAAATTCAAAAGACACATCCGCGTGGATTGGCACTTCGAGTGTTGGAGTTGCTGAAGTGAGGAGTTTGGCTGAGATCCCCAAAGCTTGCGAGAGGAAGCCTTCCAAACTGGTGGAACAAACATCTGACGCCAGCTGATTGAAAAAAGAAGACCCCATCCCTCACCGCTCCATTGAACTAATTGCTTTCTACTCACACTCGCGATATCTGACATTGGAAGGCGTCTCTTAGCGGCCCGTTCCCTCTCGCAGGTGGGGATGTACCCCATATTTGCCACAGTTTGCCTAGACCAAAGAAGGACTTCAGCCCCCAAAGCCAGCCGGCTCTTTGGTGTTAAGAGCTTTCGCCCAGCAAACCGCAGAGGGAGGTGAAACTATTGCTTTTTGTGATTTCGCAAGTCTTAACTTTAGTGTTTTCAGCCTCTCCCAAGCAGAGATGGATCAGAGTCAATGGGAACCAGTCGAGGGGAGCCATATATAGATCAATCCAAGATAATCCAAGTATTCCTCCTTTTCATCCCAATCGGCTGGTTGAAAAGCTTGGTCCCTGGAAAAATCCTCAAAAGATAGATCTTCTTCGGCTCGGTTCCTGTCCACTCTCTGCCTTCTTTACCAACCCTTCTGCAACCCTTTATTCTAACCCTTGTGACTTCCAACAACAAACATGGAACCTCTTTCAGGGACCCCTGGAAGACATGTTTCCTGCAGGGACCCTCTTTCAGGTTCCATGTCTGCTTTTTGAAGGGTAGCCCTTTATTTGGCTGGTGCTCAGTAGGGAATGACCCCCAACATTATGGGAATGAACCTAGGGATTCCCCTATAGCAAACCATAGGGGATAGTTTATAGGGGTCATTCCAACTCATTCCCTGCTGAGAACCAGCAAGTTATAGGGGCCCCAAAGCGCAGCTCGGTCGCCTCTGCATTTCCATGGACCGCCCGGAACTTTGCGCGGGCGGAGATGTCGGAGTTGACCTCGCTCCATCCCAATGACAGCCATGGCAGCCGTAGCAGCCATGGCAGCCATGGTACTTGACACACTGCGGATGGACGAAACCCGTTTCGCACCACAATTGAAACCATGGTTGAAACCCATTGTTTGCTGGTAGAGGGAAATCATCACCAGCCAGGGGTTCTGTGAACGGTGGTGCGAAATAGATTTGGCCCATCCACAGTAGGATCTGCAAGCTCAACAATTCTTTAAAGCGTGCCCTCAGAATTGGATCCCCCAGTACAGAACCCACATCGTCAGCCTTTTTTGTCCCCAGGTGAGCTCGCCAGAGGCAAATCGGATCCACACGTCCCCTAGCCCCCCTCACCCCATTGGTTGCCTCCAAACAAGGCAATATATGATGAAGAGCCTGGAGACAAACCAATAAACAACCCACTGCGTGACGGGTGTAGCTTTTTTAGGGGAGCGGAGTGCGTGATGGAGACATCAAAATACAGCGAGTGTTCTTTGTTTTGCTGTTGTTGATATTATCGCTATGATCAAGCCATACCTGTCATTCTCTCCAAGGCTGGCTTCATACACATACTCAACCTGCTTTTCAAACGCAAACCGAGCTGTACTGAGACTGCCTGAAACCCAGACCCGTTAGTGGATTGTTAAGGGCTTTCTGAGATAAAGCCCCTGTTCGCGCTATGATCATGGATGGATGGTTGCTTGTACAGAGCCAGTCTGAGCCGTCTTAGCAAAGGACATTACCCTGAAAAAAGAAAGCAAGAGAGAGAGAGAGAGGGAGAAAGATAGACAGACAGACACACAAATAACTGACACACGCAAACACGCACGCATATGTATATATATATATATTATGTGTGGTATGAAAGCGACAGTTCTGTTCGCGTGGCCAGCTACTTTCGGCATGCTGGGCCAGGCACGTCCAGAAAGAAGACGCCCAAAGGTCGCAACCTGGCAGCGACGTGAAACCGTGGCTGGTCTGCTTTTAGGAATCGGACCCCCCCCCAGATGGCCCTGGGACAAAAACCCGTACCCCCAGTGAGCATCCCAATCCCAACAAAAATAGACTAACATGAGTGATGCACCCACCCCAAAATGGTACCATTGGTTTTGACCCACAGCCAAATGGCACAACGGTTGTCCTCTTGGTTTCCTCCTAGGATTTAAGCCGTGTCTTTCACCAGTCAAGATGTGACATTGGATTGAACCAGATTCCGTGAACTTCTCCCTCAAGCCTAAAACGGGTCTAGTTTCAAAAAATAAGCCTACGTCTGTCTCCACCGGAGACCATTCACAATGGTTATCTTCCTTGTGCCCTTTATAAAGCCCTTTGAATGGCTTCTCCAAAGGCCTCGATATCCCATGTCCAGAAGCAAACGGCCCATCAACAAAAAACAACGTGCCTCTATGAAGGTGGAAGCACCTAACATGGCCAGGGACGTTGGATTTTCATGTCCAGAAACGTGTTCCACCGCAATTATTTATTGGATCCAGAACCGCGCCTGGCCGAAGTGATTGGTCCCTCTAGGAGTTCCACAAGCGTAAAGGTCCTGCGCGAATGGGCGCAGCGTGGAAATTTTCTGCGTGGTTCGCCACGCACGAGGTCTTTCCGACCGCAGGTAGCTTGAATCTAGAGATCCAGGCCCAGGCATCTTTGTTTCCAAAAAACCACCCAATATCCTGGGGAAACAGCTGGTTGTTGAAAGAACGATGGTTGACAATAATGAGAAATTGACCCCTAGAACCATAGGTGGTTTGGGTCTAGAGACTCCGAAAAGATCAATTCCTTTGTGCAGCACGACAGGTATGGCCTCCAGCCACAGACGGTTTATCCAGGCAGCTCCCCGTTGAACCGTCAACAACTTGGGGGCGACTCCGTCGGGAGGCGGGAGGTGTATACCACCAAATAGGCGGTTCCCAGGTCCAAAAGTGTCCCCACTAGGTGGAGTTCCTTGCAATGTCCCTTCAAGCCAACAAAAAGTTCGGAAGTTCGAGGTGGGCTCAACTTGGCTCCCGTCTTTGTGACCCCAAGCCGGTTTTGGGGACAAGTTCCTCCTATTTGAACCAGCGGATTCTTTTCCCTTTGTTTGATGATCGACCTATGTTGACCATCGATATATCAACCTGCGCCCGAGAAAAGTGAAAGGGGTTGTTCATCGAAACGCGGGCCCTACGGCCCCAAGTGCCAATGTCCCAGGCTGCAAGGGCGCGGACAACAACCTTCGAGTCGAAGTTTGTCCTCTCCAGGGGATGGAAGAGGAGGTCCAAGACCCCGGCGTAGGTGTAAAACTCCTGAGACTTTTGGACGCGTCAAAGAAATGTCCGGCGTATAGATACCAGGGAGGCCGCTAGGTTCGAGTTCAGGGGTCTGTAAAGCATGCATCCGGCTACTTGAACGTTGGCGAAAGCAGCCAGACGTCCGCACTGGCTCCAAACATGGCATGCAAGCACAAATCCTGGGCCGACAGCAAACGGACAGTGTCTTGACATCAAGATCAACACGGAAACAACTTCGCTTCGCTTGTCTAGGCCAAACACATCCGTCCGCCTTTCAACAGTTTACTTGTTTTTTCTGGTTGAACGGCAGCATAAGGACACCACCGAGGCAACAAGTTAAAAGTAAGGCAAGGCACGTGTGACACAATACGTTTGGTTGAGTTCAGACTGCGCAGCTACGCTGAACTAAACGATTGAATGGGTCCCTACCACAAAAGTGTCACCCGACAAACATAGAACCCGTCAGGTCCCTGTACCCACGATTTTTTACACCTGGAGGTCCAGTGGCCTTTGTTACCAAATTTAATTCTATTCCATCTTTCCAACAATTCAAGAGATGTTCCCCAAAAGGAAAAAGCTTTCCTCCCACACCTTCCGCCTTCCGGTCAGCTTCCATGATTGTTGGAGGGTTGCTAGTAGAGCCAAAATGGGTGTCAAAATAGGGACATTCATTCGCTACCCCCAAACGGACGCCTTCCCGTTGGTTTCCCTTCAAAACCCACCTGAAAAGCGTACCTATCCAATTGAAAAGCACACATCCAAATTAATGTTTGTTTTTGTTAATCCCTCGGAATGTGGTCTCGGGTGGCGCACTGTAAAGAGTGAACACGAGCTAATGATAGGAATGACTGTGGGACACATTGGGATACTATGGATGACTATGTGATACTATATGCTGCTACATGCATCTACAATCATCTATAATCAACTATATACATCCTCTGCATGTGCACAATGTAGATGGCAAATAATCATTAGACGTACATCCAACTAGTTGTATATAGATGTACATGCATAGATGGCCTTTTGGAAAAAATGACCCTGGTTTTAATTGAACAGAACCCATCTAAACCATCGTTTCTTTTGTTTTTATCCAGGCTCACCTAAAAAGGACACCTATGTGTACATGCTACTAGATGCCTGTCAACGGATCTTCGCCTTGTCCAAGGCGCTGGAAAGTGCCGAAGGAGTTGACAGGCTTCGGGCCGCTCCTGTCGGCGACGGAATCACGGAAGTTCGCGGAAGCGCTTTGGGCGTTTGGGACCGGCCCAGGGACCCCAGGCTCCAAAAGTGATGGACCCAATAAAGGGACGCTGTTCATCGAAATCAGGAGGTTCTTGATGACTGGATTCTCCTTTTATTCCGCTTTTGGTTGGTGCTGAAAAGGAAAGCAAAAGAAAGCCCCCCCATTTTGGGCTGTCCGATTGCTAGGTTCAGAAGCCCTTGAGACAACATGGCCTGCGAGCCACTTCAGGCTTACCGCAGATGGCCATGCGGCCAAACCAACAAAGCCTTTGTGCCAGCCGCGTATGTCATGATCTCACCAAGGCCTTGAATTGGTCTCCCTGTGGTACAGCAACAGTAAGACCTTCAGATTCTGGTTCATATTTAGTCAAACCTAAAATACAAAGTCATATCAGAGGAGACACCAGATATCCCCAGATGCAGATATATTTTCCCCCCTTCACACAGCACCTCAAAATGATCCCTCAAGCTGGCCACCAAAGGAAGGGCCTGCCTTAGGTTGGCAGCATGGAGACGTAAATGGGTGCATTGAAGCTGGGCGCCATCAGCAACGGACGCGCTTTCATATTGTTGCACGGGTTGCAAAGGATGTGTTGACTGCTCCAGAGGCAACAATGGCGGACCCTTATAGGTGAGCCCAGCCATTTTGAATAGAGGTGAACTGGACCTTACCATGTTTAGCTTGGTACATAGTACACGAAGGATACATGGATAGTATATCCATGCCTTTGGGGTTTACCTCCTAGCATCCATTCAAAAACATCTGGGTTGCCCAAAGGAAGGATATGGACTTCACAACTAGATGGCTTCCAGTCGGCTTCCCCTGAAACCTATCCAAAATGCGATGTGCTTCGCCTCTCTACTATCAACTTCCCCATTCCTTCCAGGAATCCTGCCTTTGAAGAAAGCTGCCAACAAACAGATGGCACACACCGTTGAAACCAATCTTTAACCAGCACCCCCCCACCCACCCCCCCCCGGGCTAGCACATAGTTTGAGTGACCTCCTTTGGGCACTCCTCTGGGCGCAGTTGACAGCCATCGGGCGCTGGCATCCCTTGAGATCAATCTAAGCCTGGTACTCAACAAGCCGACCCAAAGACATGCGAAGACTCAAAAGGACGGCCGCGCCCATGGGGACTGTCCCTTGCTAACAACCTTCGCTGACCGGGTTTTGATTGCAACTCAGCAACTCATGTCAAAACTCACGGGGCGCCCGTTTGATGTCCCTTGGGTTCCTACGGTGAAAAGGGTGCCGTTAATCTCAACTTGCTCAAGTCCCCTGGAAAAAAAGAACCTATTTTCCAGTAGTGATAGATTCGCGGAAAGAACAACAAAAACAATATGGCTGTGGGTCAAACCCATGGTGCCATTTTGGGGTAGGTGCACACCTATTTTAGTCCATTTTAGTGGGGATTGGGATGTTCACTGGGGGTACGGGATTTTCACTCAGCAAACGAAAGCCTGCGCGACACAACCGCCGACTGGACAACCCGCCGCGCGAGAAAGTTGCATCGATCCTCGTAGGCTTTTAGCGCCTCCTTGCGGATTTCGCGCACCTACCGAGCGGACGGAAGGAGTGACGTCACCAAAAGCCGGCAGTTGCTCCTCACTTGCTGAGTGGATGGCCCCCCAAAAAGTTCAAACTTATATTTACCACTGAAATGGTCTTCCCAAGAAGTTTAAGGTTCATGAACTCAGGAAGTGACTAACTGAGGGGTGTCACTTCCCGAGTGGATTGGTCAAACCATTTCTGACTTGTTGTGTCCAAATAGAACGGTCTGACATAAAGTCTATGTCCCATGTCCAGGAACTCAGAGAGCAACTGAGTCAAAGAAACAGCCAGCTGAAAAACAGTTGACCTGCGAAGCCCAGCAGGCGGGGTTTACTCGAATCAAAAGCAGACACGCCAACCGGAGTAAAACAATAGGTACGTCTCCAGTTGAAGGTATCCCAAACACGGATTTGTATCTTTATTTGAGTTGGTACCCATTCTGCTGAAAGGAAACCAAGGGCAAACCGCACATTTCCGAGGTTCCATCAGGAGGCAAGACTATGGGGTGAAAGCAGCTGGTAGATCTTATGTGCCAAGGACCTAGTTTGCGAAATGCCGGCCATGGAAAAAGCGCCCTTCTTGTCTTCGACCAGTTGAGTAGAAAAACAATTGGCACATATTGGTCAAATCGAGACATGGCTACTTACCTGTGCGCGTCTCCGCTGTACATGCAGCAGGAAGGCAAGAAGTGAATTTAAAGACGGGCCACAACAAACGATCTCACTTCGAGCTCGCTCGAAAAATCAACAAACATGACCCTGAAACGCGCCTCTGCTTGAGTCGGCGTTCGGGAGTTCGGAGCCAAGCCTCGCAAGCTCCACACGGCGTTTGCACTCTCCGAAGCAATGACGTTGGGTTACCGAGTCCTGCCAACCCACCAGTGGAATCCGTTACTGAGACAGGGTTGCTTAAACCTTCCCATGTTGGCGGGGGGGCGGATTTAAACATTACCCTTGCTGGCCATGTGAGATTAGTCTCATTTTGTTTGGATGTGTTAAAACAAATAAATAAATAAATAAATAAATAAATAAAAATAAGGGGGCACAGAATGCCCTCTGTGAACTGCGCGCCGTGGAAGGTACACCCCAAAGCTGCCGAGAAGGCGTTAAGCTTAAGAGAGCGCCAGATGAGAGCGGGGAAAAAATAGCCACTCAGTTCGGAACACTGGAAGCAACTAATTGAACACTTCGTTGCCAAATGACCCCTTCCCCACATGCGCAGACTTAGCAGCCGTGCCTTTTGCCGTGGGAAGATCTCGAAGCCAGGCCTGCAGCAGAATCCCGGGGCACTGTCTTCTCATGTCTCCTCCAAATCCGTGAGGAGAAACAGAGAGGTGTGAACCTTTGGATCCTCTAATGACTGGGCTGACGGATCCCCTGCGAATAGTGTTTAACTTCAACACTAAACCCTAAAAACCTAAGGGGGACGGTGTCAAGTAGAGTACAAGTAAGTCTGCCCGCTCAAACTCGGGAAAGTGCTGACAGCCTTTTCCCCGGACCATTCGACCTGCCAAAATTTGGCACATTAAATGGCTGTTCTTTTTGCCGGCAAAGGAACAAGGAAACCAGGGCAATGTATAAAACCTTAAAACGGGTCCCGAAAGGACGTGGACCCCCTTCATAGGGGACGGGGATATCCATAAACTTGTTGGACAGCAGTTTAACAGTCAGTCCAGAAATCCCCTACAATATCAAATGGAGATCTTTGGATGAGTCGTTTCGGTAATATTGAATGAAGCCTAAAACATAGAACACTGAAATCACGCTTGTCGCCAAGCTGGCCTTCCCAAAAAGGGCGTCCATGATCTCAGTGAGGCGAATCCGAAAATGTTGGATGAGGTGCAAAGAGATCTGAACTTGAGAGAGGTTTTCCTCAAACCAATTGATGTGTTTTAACGGCTTAAAACAGAAAAACACAATATTCCTCAAACTATGTGGTTTCTTTCTTGTTTCTGGCTTGAAACATATGAGATGCACGGAGAAACCGAAGAGCCGGCCAGGCGGAACTAGCCCATCTGTTCCTTCCTTCTCCCTACATCCCCTGCTAAAAGGTTCTCACTCTTCGTGGGTGAAATGCGGAAACCCAACCACCAAAACAACGAAAAACCTGAAAAAACCTGAGTTGAAGCGGATGGCGGGAACCCCAGAGACGCCTCTGATGGCTGAAAAAGCCTTCTCTCCTTTTTCGCCCCGGAGATGCTCCGCGCCGCCTGTACCGTGGGCTGCCAACTCTGAAAGCTCAGGGAGGAGTAGGTGGCCAGCTGCAGCACCTGGGCGGACGTACACCGGCCATGCTGCTTTTGGTTTTTGCGGGGCGGTTCCCGGCACCCTCCCGTCAAATAACATGGAACCGGCCATTCTGTAAGTTTTACAATATGTCCAAAACCTGCGAAAAGAATGAGATCCCCCAAGTGTCCAGGATCTTTACCAGGGTGAGCTCGAATTACCGTCGTGCGAGCTTGCCATAAACTATGCAGAGCCATGGTCCTTTTGGTTTTGGGGCGCAGCTTCTTCTACAAGTCCAAAACCTGCAATAAGGCATTGCCACAGGACCTACATCGCCGTGAGCTCATGTTACTCCCAGGTGAGCTTGCCATAAAATTGGCGCTTACAAAGAAATGGAATCACTGGGAGAGGATATGGCCCGCAAAAATGCCTTGCCCTTTGGGTTCCTTTTAGGCCCCCCCTTCTTTTTTATCAAGCAGTTGCAACGTGAGCCTGGTAGAAAAAGGATTGGATTGTTTATTTGTGGGGAACCGACCAGGGACGAAGGAAAAACGGAGGTGAGTGAACAAGGGGCTTGTTCCCAATTTCTACCCATGTTGGACCGGGGAAGTGTGGGGTATTTCTGGCACGCCTTTCTATAGGTTCGGTTCATTCCATATTTTTGTGGAAAGAGAGACACCTCCCTCTGGTCCCGCTTTACCGGCGCAGATCGCGAATTGACCGTTGCTCAACCGCAACAACTTTTTTGGGATCCTCCTCACTTGGATCACACGGGGTCTCTTGGATCGTCAGGCGGCTGCAATCCCAACTCGTGGAGCGCCTTGAAAACCACAAGATTCGTCCATCCTTTCCCCCACCCACTCCCCGAAACACTAACATGGAAAGTCAAAACATGACCTTCAAACAGAGACCCTACCCTTGCATCCCCCACCACGCAAGACTTGCCCGGACAGGGCGTATGAACCCCCAGCTGTTGGGGGAGGCTTTGGGGGGGTGCCAGTGGTGTCCTGGCTTGAAACGTCCTGATCACGTTGAATCCAAAACCCCTCATCTTGGTTGACGTTGGAAGGAGAGCAAAAGTTAAATTTTAGCAGTTAGTGGAGAAATCCACCTAAACCACAATAAGCAAAAATGTAAAATGTTTCCCAACAACAACCATGTCATAAGTGACAAACGGGAAGAAAATCCCGAACACTCTTTGCTATCGGCGGTTGGCGTCCAAGCGTACTGCCGAAACCGCCCGAGCAAGAGTACCTGGGAGTTAAAAAAGAGGACCTGGCAAAACAAGAAAAAAACATAACCCCCGTTTGAAGGCTTTGAGGAACGTACACACAGGAGATGCAACGACTGCCAAATGGCTTGTAAGGAAAACAAAGAGGGCTTCTCCAGCCCTTTGCTTTACGGTAAACATAGCCAACTAGCGGGCCAACCAGGTGGTTTGCTTTTGGCCAATGCACACATCATCCAACAAGGGGTCACCTGGGTTTGTCTCAGCACGCCAGACTTAGCTTACCTGTTTACCAGACTTTTTGCAACCGCCGTGTTTGCTTGTTCATCATGTTCCCTTTGGCAAACAGAAGAGTCTAGCATCAAAAGTCGGCCCAACAAATAAGCCACGCAACGTGTTGAGACAAGGACACTCACCCTCCATTTAGTGGTTTGGAGCCCGGTGGTTTGGTGGTTAGGGGCTTTCCAATTTACAAACAAGAACCCCCAAACCAAAACAACTCACCAAACCCCCAAAGCCAAAGTTCAAAGCCCCCAAACCCCCAAGCCCCCAAACCACAGCAGAAGTTCGAAGCCCCAAACTCCCCAATCTCCAACCCCCCCCAAAAAATAGTAAAAGGAGAATTCAAAGAATTCTTCTTTCTACTATTTTTTTTCCAACAGCAACACAACAAACATAAAACAAAATCCAGAACAACAAGCAAACAAAATAAATAATCACAACCAGCAACAAAAATATTTAATCACAGCATGCAACATTAAATAATTCAAACAAGCATACCAACAAAACAGCAACACTCTAAATCATCAAAGAACCCAAACTCAAAAACACACATCAACAAAAAACAAAGCAACATACCAACAAAAAATATCATAAGAGTATCAAACAAAACAAAAACAAACAGCCAAAGCACGAACAAATTGAAGAAGCATGCCAAGTCTAAACAACGCACTTTGAAAGAGATAAGCAAATTATAATAATTCAATCTTTACAAACGATAAGTATAATATAATTATACCATATAATATTTTACATGTTATAATTATATTTCAATTAAGAATTAAGGATTTAAGATAACAGTCAGGCAATATGTCTTCAAATATGTAATCTACATATTTATCAATATCATTAATGTCTATATATTTGATATTGTCTTTTCCTATTATCGAATAAATATATTCCCAAAAGAATAAATACAGCAATAGACATACTTTATATTTAGTGTTGTAGTAATACCATACATGATATTTAGTTATTCTAAATTCATTCAAGACCTTGTTTATTTTATCTTTGCTTAATAAATGCCAATCAATCTCTTCAAACAAATCACGAAATTCTTTAGCAAATGATTTATATGGTTTAATGCTTAGTTCTCCTCCAAACCTTTTAATCAAATCTTTATTATTAAAAAACTCATCAATTTCTTTTTCAAATGACTCTCTATCAATTTTATTGTAAAAACATAAAGGAAATCGTTTTTGATATCTCATAAAGAATTTCAATTTTAATTGAAACTTTGTATATCCCTTATCCTTATATTCTTCAACAAACAACTTTTCAAGGTCTCTTGTTATACAGCATTGATTACAATATACATCATATTCACTTATTTTATTACACAGATTAGCAGGTAATAAGTTATACAATGTAAAATTAATATCATTCTTTTTATTATTACAACATTCACACTTACTATAATTAAACAGTGTCATTTTTCCTCTTAATATATTAAGTCAATATTTCTTTAAGTCGTTTTCAAAGAATTTATTTTATAATGGCCGTAAGCAAGTGAGTTTACACTATCTATCCAATATTTTTTGTTTTCATAACTACTAAGAGCAATTTTTTTAGTTGTTATACTAAAAATTCTGTGGTTTTTACTTCTAATACTATTAAATGACTTATGTATAACCTCATTAGTTTTTAAAACCGTCTCAAACTCTTCATATTTCATTTGACGTCTTACTGTGCCTTTTGCTATGCCCTTACATTTCTTATATTTTTTATCATCACCATAAACTGAGTAAGCATAGCATTTAGGACGAAGAGCTATAAACCCTGTTATTATTTTACTTTTTAATTCATCCTTAAATTTACCTAATACTTTCTTGTTATTATCATCATAACATTTATGTTCCTTAGGATAATCTGAAAAATCTAATTCTTTTTTAATTGTATTAAGGTCTTCATAAATGTCATTGGTTTTAGTATGAAATACAAAACTATCAGTATCAGTATATACCATTTTAATATTATCTCCATATTTAGGCTTCATAACGTCATAATAAAATTTATACATGTGTTGCTTACTCAAATCTAAAATACTCATCCCAATAAATATAGGTTTGTCTAGTTTCAACTTTGTTTTTTGCTTTTCAACTCCAACCAAATTTTCATTAATGATATGACTATGTTTGAAGTTAGGATTACTTACACACTTCATATATCTAGTTTCATCACTTACAACCTCAAAATCTAAATGTTTTCCTTTTATCCTCCATTGTTTTTCCAAATATGGCATTGTTCATCAATTTGTAAACATCTTTCTCAAAATCATTTCTAGCATTCTTCCTCTTCTCAGTGTTAAACTCAATGTAAGGTTTTAAAACTTCTTTTTGTTCAAATTTAATTGCTCTATGAATTTTCTTAAGTTTTAACCCTTGCTTCAAATAAAATTGTAAGGTTCTTATATGGATTACATATTTTTCTTTATCATTTAAATTCAATACTAATTTATTTGTTTTCTCATCCGTAGGTTTTTTATGATTTAAAAATTCATAAATTTCAATTTGTTTATCTGACAGCATGTCGGCTTTAACATTCATAACCTCAGGTGCCATTGGATAGTCATTGTGTAAATCGTGTAATTCTTTAGGATATTCTAAATCCACTTCTAGAATATATCCAATATTATTATTCTTATAATTAATAATGTCTTCTTCTTTTAATGTATCATCCCATTTTAGATTTTTATATGGCAGTTTTTGTATCATGCTTAACCCGTACAAATTATTAGCATCAAAATAGTTAATATAACTACTTTCTTTATTTTTATCATATTCTTCTCCCATGTATTTATTATTTGCTTCAACTTTTTTAGTAGAAACCATACACATCCCGCCTCTAAGTCCCGCTTCTATCATTTCATACATTTCTTGGTCATATATTAAATCAATCTCTACACCAGTCATTTTAAGCATAGCATCAAAAGCAAAGTTAGGCAATGTATAATAATAAGCAGGGTCCAATCCATAATATTTCATACATACATCTCTAAAATTTTCGAAAATGTCAGTCAATAATAATACATCAGTTTTCAAATATAAATCATGGTATTCACCCATATTCTTAATGTCAAAATGCTTCCATATAATTTTTGCCCTTTCATAGTCGTTAACACTTATACCTTCTTCACTCAACTGACTATAAAAATCATCCTTACTCGGTAATTGCTCATCATCAAATTTATCAAATGAATTCATGTAGTCATAAGGATAAACACCTTTATCAGTTAATAAATCTAGACATTTCTCACTCTTAATCAAATCATTTTTACTACTAAACCTAAAATTATCTTTCCAGTCTTCACGCAATAACCATTTACTTTTATCTTCTTCATCTGTATTATCATACTTACTCATTGAAACTAACTTATCTAATGAAGCAGTTAAAAACCCAAAAGTGTCTTTAACACTCAAACTTTCAAAACTGATATTAATAAATTTTTCACTGTTCTGAGCGATGACACCTATTTTATTGTTGTTACTTAATTTATCCGCATTTTGAATAATTAAATGGCCATCATAATTTTTCATG